ATTCTGTACTCCAGCGAATAACAAACGTAGGTGTTGATTAAAATTATCAAATACTTGGAGCATTTGCCCGCCAAAATGAAACAAAATGTAACAAAATGTCACAATAAGTTCAAGAAAAGTTTTAACTCAGAACACGAGTATGCGCTAAAAATATTGAATGAACCGCATTACAATTTCTCAACGGTTTAAAGGAAAATCCACGAACCGTCACAATGTCGTCCACATTCAGTAGTTTTTTTACCTTTCATTTAGAGAACTCGTATCGACTGTATTAATTTCGGCGGGCAGGTTTTAAATCGAAGACAAACAAAAGCAATAATTTTTCTCAACGATAAGCTTAATAAGAAACCGCCAACTGAATGAGTTAGCTTATCCTCACAGCTTTTGTCCTTAAGATTACTTCGACGAATTTGACCCGACTCACAGTTAGGTTTGGACAAAATATATTTTCATTGATCGGCTACGATAGCAGAAGTCAAATTATCATTAAATATTAAAATCTTCGTTCCATCTTCGTTGACTTGTAAAAGGAATATAATGTTAAGCTATGCCACTATTTGAGACCTACCTGTTTCCTAAATTGTTGAGCATATTTTTCTGTGATGTAGATAAATTTTAAGCGGTTTAAACGAGAAATATTTACAAAGAATTGGTCTCTCTTGCTCGTGTTTTCACGTGTTGTATTCAACTTACACAGGCGAACAACGCGCCGACGATTTTCCCGCCTTTTTATGGAGCCGCTTCATTTATATCGAACTGAAACGTTCCCATCATTTAAAAAGTTATCAGAAAAGCAATCAGCGACGGCAAATTTTTGAGGAGTAGAGCTCACAGAATCATACTTGTTAAGTAATTGTTATGCCTTTTTTCTAGTTTTTCTGCGACGCGAGAAAAAAGCCAAACAAATGGAACAAGCATCTTCGATTTACAGCTTGCAATCTCAGTAGTATTTAGAACGTCAGCTGCCACGGATTTCCGTTTCGTAACAGTCAATGCCATCATTGACAAGCAATTCTTTTGTAATAGTTGCGACGTTGTTTCTGGTCTAGTTCAGGACTGGATCGAAACTGTGCTCAGATTTCACATAAAATTGGGCCAAGCCAGTTACTTTATTAACCCTGTGCTAGATTCACGCGTATTTCGGAAATAGCGATAGAGTCATGCCATTACATGGATGTTACCTCATTGGTTAGTTGTTTCAGGGTGTTTGGTAGATTAACATGGTGGTTTAGTGTTGCCAGGTTCCGAAGAAGTCAGTAGTAGAATTAAGAAGCAGTATAATTAAATGGCATCGATCATTTACTGAGGGAAAACATGCTGCGCCGAGGCAGCAGTTAGGTGTAACCAATACCGACCTGACATTCGTTTCACTGCCGTCAAGCTAGTTTACAGGTAATCCACGGCCCAGGTATATTCTAAAAATTAAAACCAAAAATGTACAATAATTCATCGTATAAAACTATAAACGCAGAGAACTAAAAATCTAGGGAATCAAATCACAATAAATTCCGATAACAGTCAAACCTAAGCGATCGAATTTTGTTGTTCACTTCATTAGTGCCTACTCTATTTAGTTCTAATATCATTTGTTAGCTCGTTCCATTTCTTTGTGGCATATGTTTTATCGCTACTCCTCCTCAGAGCTCTTTCCTCAGCCCATCTCCGAATCATCCTTCTCAGAGAGGTCAGAGAGCATCATACCTATCGTATCGCATATAAAACAAATGAATCAAGTGAAATTTGCAAAAATTAAGCCACTACGGAAATTCCAAGAAAATAATTTTAAAATTGATCGGAAAAAGAAAGGCTTGCATCGGCCAAAAATAACTGAACTCTTGTTTCACTGCCACTCTCTCCTTTCTGTCACTTCGTCCCCCTCCCCCTCCCCCTCCGACCGGGTGTTAAGTATTCAGCGAAATAACACAGGTGTCTGTAAGCAAACAGGAGTCATGTATGGTTTCTGACTGGTATAAGTGTCTGGAAAATTAATGTCAAAATCCAACTAGTCTTAACTAGTAGGACAAACGTCTGCATACGAGTCAAGTGGTCCATCAGGCTGGCGCTTATTTCCGGTTTCTGTAGCATAAAGCGACTAGGAGTATTTCTACTTCCTTTGGATGGGATGTTCGTTCATCGCAGGGTTATTCCCGGCAGGCGCGGTAGCCTCATGGTTAGTGCGCTGGCCTCCGGATCGAGCGATCTGGGTTCGAGCCTTGGCCGAGGACATTGTGTTGTGTTCTTGGGCGAGGCACTTTACTCTCACAGCGCCTCTCTCCAACGCAGGTGTAAAAATGAGTACCGCGAATTTAATCCTACTACTTAACATAACAAATAATTCAGTGCACCAGCTGAATAAAAGCATTTAGAGAAACAGCTGTTAATAGATAATAAAAGAAATACTTTCAAAGCCAAATCTTTGTACTTTTATCGTAAGTACATCATTCCATCGAACAGTGCTTACAACTACAAAGCTATGAGTCTAATGAGGTCTTAAAAATTCATACACGGACACAGATAGTTTATTGAACATCTCCGTGGGGGCTTTACGGGACTTACAGTAATAACACTATTAACATACGTTAAAATGATAAATGAGAAGATATGTACAGTTAAAAAACCTAAGATTACATCGTATTAAAATTTATATATAAAAATTCCAATCATTAAAAACATTAAAAGAATAAGCCGCGATGCTAAGAAAGCGACGAACTAAGCTCTAAAGAGTTCCAGAGATTTAGATTTCCATAATTAATGGGACAACATCAAAAACAGTGATATCTTTATTCGCTTGAAAAAATTCATGGAAACTGGTGGTTTAAAATCCTTTTTAAATAATTTAGTGTTATTAACAACGAACTATACCGTAATTACATTTTTTTTTTTGGCAGTTTCCAAAAACAAAGTTTTCAATTGTCTGCTTTTCTTTCACTTAAGGAGGAGCTCTGTTTTCCAGTCAATTCAGTTATTTCAACCAAGGTATGTTAACCTTCAAAATTGTTAGTTGTTTCCCTAAAAAACATTTCTTTTTCTCACTTTTTAAAACACCTGTATCAGAGAAAGTGTAATATCTAATGCCGAAAGCCGTAAGTTAAGAATTCATTCAAGCTGATGCGAATATTTACTGCTCTGGGACAACATCATATATTTGATAAGGAGAAGCAGGTATGAGTTATTTTGCAGCCGCTAATTAGAGCAGAGCCACAAAGACTTGTTTTCTAAGGATAGTTTAGCGACAATTAATTGTATTTTAAATGAAAAGCTAGCTCTCTGTAAGTTCTCTTTAAAGTCGATTTAGTCGCAGTGGCAGATTGAAATAAATTACTATCATTGCTGTTGTAGGTGTCTGGCCAAATAACAAATAAATTTCTTTGATATGCAGTCAGTACAACCCTGACTACGCCACTTGCGGAAATTAAAATGTAACACTACATAAAAAGATGTTGATAAAACAATCTGATTTAAAAACTATTATTTATTAGGGATTTCTCGAAATATGCATGTGTAGCATGTATAGGCAATTGTGACAAACATCTTGTGAATTTTCTTTTCCAGAAAAATGCTTTTATCATTTGTACTTCTTCTCTGTTTTGGTCTTTCGTCTCAAAAAGGTAAGTTTGATATACTGTTTCTATTTGTTGGATTTTATTTATTGGTACTTAGCTCATTGATAATTTGACAAGAGAAGACCTCTCAACCTTGTCAATGGTCGCTACGTCAGTACCGAGTAATAATCATCGTCTTATTTGCTCTTCGTAAATTTGACAAATATTTTCTGTCGGAGAAAACTCAATTTGGGACAATTGAAACTATTTTTTTTTGTTAGACTGGGCGTTACGTTCTGAATTGAAAGCTACCACAGAAAGGACTGAAAACTGTTATTTTCAAACAGATATTGTGTTTTCTATATGAATTGGCGGATTATATCTTGAAAGAGTACAACACACCTGAAAAAATAAGTTTATTTAGATAGAAGTCACATTTCGATTAAGTTTCGATTAAGAAAATGACACAATTTTTTAAATATTCTTTCACAAGGATCTTTATATCCACGTTCTGTACATGTCTCTTTCGCTTTCATCTTGAGTGGCTTGAAAAGAGCCGTTCTCTGTAACTGATTAAAATAAATGCACAAGAAAAATTGGCACAATTGCAAATTCTCGCCTTCTATTCTTAAATCCGTCACCTTCAAGTAAACTAATGACAACACGAAAAACACCACAATTTTTGCGGTCATTTTAGTCGTTGGTGTTAAGCTGATAGATACGTTTGCAATATTTAAAATGATCCACTGTCCCTTACAGATCAACATCGAACAAAAACGAGCCGAATGTCATATGACCCTTATATACGACACTCGGAAACCATGCAGCGATAAAATTGCTCCCGTTGTTGGCAAATTGGCAGAACGCAGAAACCTATCGACAATAACTGCATTCTTAAAGATTTCAAACGCAACTAGACTCAAATAAATAACATAAACAGAAAGAACAAGCTGCAAACCTTAGCATTACACTAATTCATTTGATATTTCCCTTTTTGATAAACCCTTTTTTCGAACGCAACATGCAATAATATGTTAATCTATTCTATGTAACAAAGATGCTTTTCAACAAGTTTTATCCTTTTCATCTTTATGTCTTTTTCAACGCGCCAAAAGTTGCGAGGTCGTTTCTTTTGTAACAAGGCGATTCCAATAACAGGATTAATTATATGACTGAGAAAATTGCTTCATTCTGATTGGCTCAGAGCAGGCAAATTTATCATAAAGTTTTAACTTGCACTGCCGAGATGCAAATTAACGCGCTCGTGCTCGTAATTTTCTCAGTCATATACCAAATGATGAGTAATCGTATGAAAGCTCGAAACAATTCAGATTCTTTCAAATTGCACTCGCACAATGGCTCATGCAATTTTGAGAGACACTTAACTCTCAAGGTGCCTCTCTCCACCCAGGTGTATAAACGGGTACCAACAAATTTAATGCTGGGGATAACCCTGTGATGGATTAGCATCCCATCCAAGGGGGAGTAGAAATAATACTAATTCCTTAATGTCACTGGAATCCAAGGCATCGGTGCCTGATAGGAAATATTGCAGTCTCGATTGCAGAATTCATTTGTGTAGCGAGTTTCCCCGCTTCGATCATGCTTTCGTGTTCGTACGTAAAATGAAAACGGTTCTGATATAATTTACTTTTTTTCTTTTCACAGTTCTTGTCTCTATTCAGAGATAAAGGGCACTTCACTGGGATGAAAATCCATAATTTCAGGTTGAGTTTAATGTGTTAATGTGTTTGAGTTCTTTTGAACGATACACCTCATAATTACAGTTTTAAGTCCTTCTCTTCCCTAAAATACCCACTACCCCCACTCTAATCTTCAGACGAAAAGATTCTACCAGTAATGCACTATTTCGAATGCAGTGCGTTTAAGTTTGTGGACTTTTTCAAGATTTAGCTTACAGTTTTTACAAGCAGATAGGTGATGAGAGTTAAGAAAATAATCACAAAGAAAGATATCTGTATACTAACAATTCAATGAAGTGTTAAAGGTGCTACGTCACGGTTTGCCCATTTATTAAGGAGAAGTGATGTCTTGATAACAGAACTGACTCGCGTGTTTGACTTTCTCAGTGCTGGTAGTCTGATCGCTAACCTTGAGCTGTCATTCAGCAAGCTATCATACGACGTCATGCTTCAGTTGGAAGAGGCTTTCTATATCAACAAGTCTCTTGAGAACATGAAGATCGAGTGGACACTCGTCAACTTTACCAACGGTACAAGCTTTGCTTATCTACCGACTTTAATTCTGATCCATATCATGCTTTTGCTAAAAGGGACGATCCTTATCTACAGCTCATAATCACTCACTAATTAAACTCCTCCGGCATAGAGCGGTTTTCAATTGAGTGTCGTAAAACCAAAAAGAAACCAGAAGGAAAAGGAAACAAACAGCGGTCAAAAACATCACAAATATACAACGCATGGTCTAAAAATCTTAACTGTATTAACTTGACACTTCGTATGTTACAACATACATCTTCAGAAGTGACGGTTATAACTATAACAAAAAGTTACAAATTCAAATCTAAAGATAAAGCGAGGCACTTTTGAGAAACTAAAAATTCATAGCAAAATTGATGCTTACTTACCGGTTAGACTACTCAGCCAATGTCCAACCGTAGTAAAACCAAAACTAAAACCAAAACCAGTATAATTGCCTGATTACTTTCGACACTCAGTTGAATACTACTCTAGCTGACCCTAGTAAAGCCAAAAGCGGAACCAGAGTAATTGTCTGATTACATGGGGCACAAAAACCGCTTTAAAATTGGAACCTGTATAAAATGGCCAAGCATTGAACTGTTGCCAGGTTTTCTGTTCTGTCCTCAATTGTAAATAATCTCAAGATCCACTAAATGTTATCAATGAAAAACATTTCTATACACAGGAACTTTTAGAAAACCTCGTCAACTCTTTACTCCAAGGCTAGTGTTCAGTAGCGATCCAGACTTTGAGCTAACGGGAGGGGNTCAGTCATTTCTTCTTTTCTCACCCAAAAATAAGGGGGCCCGGGGCCCCCCGGGCCCTTCCCTAGATCTGCCACTGGTGTTAATAGTCTTTTGAACAACCAGGGGACTCCCATATGAAAAACGGGGGGTGCTCGTCGTACCTTTTAGAGGTTAAAAAAAGCTATTTTGGTACCTCTAAGGGTGTTCAGCTTCAAAAGGTCGTTAGCGGGAGGTTTTGCGAAACCTGTTAGGGTATTGAGGCGAAAAACATATGACAGGAGATAATGTGTTGTTTTAGAATTGGTACCTTTTAGCAGTGAAAAGCATTTTAAGCCACGCCCACAAAACAGGATCTTGATACCTCTTAGGGGTTCTTTTTCAAAATTTCTGACGAGCACCCCCGTCATTTTAATATAGGAGTCCACCCCCTGGGGTTTCTAGAAAATCTTCTTCTTACGGAAAAGAGTTCTTTTTTCCGAAGAGTCTCCATCTCTCAATAAGCTGACAGTTATACTTCGGAACCTGTTAAAGCTCTCCGCCGAAATAGTTTTCTGCCTTTATATTGCAGTGCCAAACAGATCCCCCGAAATAATCGATATGCACGCTGGCAACTCGTCTGTAAGTCTGACCTGGACGGGACTGTCGGGCGAGGATTGGCAAGGAGCCATGCAGGGTTACAAGATTCTTTATCGGGAGGTTAATGTCACTTTTCCCCACAACGTCAGCGTGAAACATGGAGCTGAGACAACTACTATGATTAAGGACCTAAAGCCAGGCACGTGGTACGCTCTCAGGATATTGGCTTTTAATGTGTATGGTGACGGGC